GGTTTCTAATCTGGTCCTTGCTGACAGGCTTAGCTCCCATGGAATTTCCACCCTTTCCTTACAAGCTCCGCCTGTTTTATCAGGGGTTACGCTGGAGAATGAAAGAGTACGAGAAAGTTAATAGTTTAAGGATTAACTAATGTGGTGACACAACTTAACACTGCTTCATATGGGAAGAAATGTGGTCTGGAAGCATGGTCTCTGACTCTTCTATGTGGTCTTGAATCTTGTCACACTCTGCTTCAGTTTCCTCATCTGTAAAATGAGGATAAGGCATGAGGTTGGTGTGAAAGTTCAAGTTCATGCTTATAAAGCACTAGGAACATCCTTAAAGCATTATATGTGCTAATGGTGTTGATGACGTACCTGGCACTGCATTCGTTATAGAGAATACAGAGATTGATGAGATACTGTCCCTGACTTTGGGGAGCTTAGAATATTTTAGGGGGAGTCAGGTAAAAAACAAACAAACAATTTCCCATGTGTAATAGGGAAGTTGTATAGAGTTCAGAGAATGGAGTGTAAGGAGCAGTGTGATGAGTGTGGCCTGCGTAGGGGTGACGGATGCCTTGAGAAAAGGCCCTAGAGCTGAATCATGAAATAGGACTATGTGTTTGTGTTACAGAGCTCAGGGGCTCGCCTCTGGGGGTGCTCTATCCAAGAAGGAGCCCTTGTTGCAAGGTAGTTTTATTTACTTGTAGCAAGTAAAGGGGCTGGGGATTCATATTCAAAGCCCTGCCTCTCCCAGGGCAGCTCCACCATTGTTTATATGCACGATTTGGTCAATTGCATGTTGATTTCTTCTTTGCAGTTGGGTCCTTGCATCCCTTGAGTTCCTGTCAGTTCATCTTGGTTACAGCTGAATCTACAAAATACTGTGCTACATTTTCCCATTTGGCAAGAAATAACAGTTAAAACGGGGGGAGGGACAAGAAGGGACTTGCAAACATGTGACCAAAGGCGGGCTGGGGAACAAGTGCCTGAAGGGGCAGAAGTGAGAGCCCGTGTGATGCATTTACAGAGCTACCTTATCAGACTATGAACAGAGCTCAGGTAGGCGTGTAAGTGGCAGAGTTTGTGGTGAAGTTCTACGGGGATGAACGTCGAAGTCAAGCATTGCAAAGTGGGGCCCGTGGGCTGAATTCAGAAATTAGATGGGTTTTGTTCAGCTCATTCAGTATCTTTTTTTTTTTAAAAAAAGGTGTCAACATTTAACATTTAGGATGTTTTACATGGAAAAATCTGGATTTCCAGGCTTTCTAGAAAATTAGATGATCTTGCAATACTGTTTTAATTCCAACACAGGACCAATGAATGATATGTATTGTCCAGTTTGTCCCAGACCTTTCCCCTTCCAGTCCATCAACATTTGTGTCTCTAATCTTTATATAACACACCAAGGAGTTCTGATTTTATTCTATAGGGCATACAGAGCATTGAAGTTTTTTAAATAGGAGATTCTACTGTGATCTAATTTGCATTTTTTATGTGGAGAATGGATTGAAGGACAAGATGTGAAATTGTTTTCAGCTTTTAACAAAAGTTTTGTCTTAAGAAGTTACTAGACACACATCAGGGCAATTAAATATCATTGGCTTTTACTGTAAGATTTTATTAGAAAATAGAGTTCATTCTTTGTAAATTGTGACCTTTAATTTTGTTATGGAAGAGTGATCAATCTTCTAGGCACCTCTGGGTTACTTTTTAAAGGTTTGCAAGTGGTCTAGGATTTTAAGAGGAGAACTCAATCTAGTTTGGCAGCTCCTTTAAGGATCAATAGATGGTCTCCTTGGAATTGATAATGAAATAAAATCAGATCTTAACACATCTGGAAAGGGCTAAAGGGAATGCATACATTTCAACAGAGGAGGTGGCTGGTACAAAACAAAAGTTACTGAGAGGCAACAAAGTATTTCTGGCAGAGTAGGTTTTGCTGTCTAAAGCTTGCTCTTACTGGTGGAGACAATCCCTCATTTTCAAATAATCCACGACTTTCCAGGGAAAAGGCATATGACTTAAGTTGAGGTGGTAGTTACAAATAAACCCAGGGCTTTTCTAGCTTGTGGTTCACGTCCCTGAGAGGTTAGCAGATGCAGAGCAGAAGCAGCTATGCTGGGTTCAGAGGCAGCGTGATGCAGATGTTCGTGAAGCATCTCATACCCACTTCCCTCTGGTCCAGGGGGTTGGAGCAGGGAAGCTTATGAGAGGGGTGAACTAATCATATACTCATGCTCTGGCTTTCTGTAAGAGCACTGGTTGGTTCCTAGCAAGAGAGCTGTGCTGCCAGAGAGTAGGCTAGAGACCCAGGGAAGGTAGAATTCCTTCTTCCTCTGGGAATCTCAGTTTTTCTCTGAAGGCCTTCAACTGATTGATGAGGCCCACCCACACTATGGAGGGTCATCTGCTTTTTCCAGCCTACTCATTTGAGTGTTAATCACATGTAAAAAAATACCTTTACCTGAACGTCTAGACGTGTTTGGCCAAACTGGCCTCCGAGCCAAGTTGATACACAGAACTCACTATCATACCAGGGCATAAGCTGGTTTGGGTGTCATGGGCTGGAGAGAGGGGAGACTCTGCTACTGAGCTATGCCCATTTCTGAGAAACCCAGTTTCAACTTCTGAGTTACACCTAATATTTATTGAACAAATGTAGAGAATCTGCTATGTGCAAAGTTCTTGCCAATTCTCTGCTTCTAGGGGGTCTATTGCTATTGTAAATATTTGTAGAAAGGGTGCACTTGAATGAATAAGACAAAGGTTTTGGCCTTAAATGAGCTTATAGAGGAAACCGCCCTGCAAACAAAGAACTGTTTCAGAACAGAGTGATATAGGAGTTTACTTGAGGGGCAGAGCAGGGTGCTCCTGGCCCAGAAGAAAACCCCATGAATTCTGATTTGTGGGTGAATTCAAACAATGTCTTTGGAGAGAAGAAAATGACAGTATATTTTCACCCAAAATTTTCTGTGGGAATGCCCTAGAAATAATGTCAGGGAGTGAAGCACTAATAGAATCTTGCAGCTCGACTGGACCAACTAGAGGTGAGTGTATTCTAAACTTTCACTTTATGTAAAAATTAAATCCTAGCAAAATTCCCCTAGCTTTAAAGAAGTAAACACCCATATCCAGCAGGCAGCAAACACTTCTGTTTATGCCACTGCATGGTCACTTTAATGAAAATCAAAATCACTGGCTGGAAAAAAATGCATTTATGCTGTTAAAACTGAGGTCTGTGAAATCTTTCCCTGTGTTCAAATTAAGTGTTACAAATTTTACACTGAATCATACTTTATTTACAAAGCATCTTGCACCTCAGTGAATCTTTCTTTTTGCTCTTTCTAAGTAGGTTCACTTTCTTAAAAAGAAATTTAAGATACTATGGATTTTTTTGTTTTTATTTTTTATTTTTCACTTACAGTTTACTTTCAATATTATTTTGTATTGGTTTCAGGTGTACAGTTTAGTGGTTAGACAGTCATATAATTTACATAGTGTTCCCCTTGATATTTTCAGTACCCACCTGGAACCATACATAGTTATCGCACAGTTATTGACTATGTATTTTTTTAAGGGAAGTCTCAACTGGCATTAAATAATATGTCATGTATATTATATATAAATTTTCTTCATAAACATAGCAATGCATCTTTAAATATATAAAATTTATTATATTATATATTAATATATATATATAAATACCCACCCTCCCCCCAGCATAACATAGATAGTTAATGTAATTTTGTGTTTTGTACTTTGTAGGAAAAAATCCCATTAGAAGAATCTTAAAATGTTTTACAAATGTGCCATGGAGTAGATTTTAATCACTGTCCTTTTCTCTTTTGTCCACTAAGAGAAAACAAAAATGACTTACACAAAGCTGACAAGCCTTAGCAAGGCTTACCCCTGACTGTGGCTGCTGACATGATCCTGTCCCAGAAGCCACATTGTCTAACTGCTGGTCATTGTGTAGAAGGCATTTCTGGCGCCTTGCCTCTAAGTGAATTTGCTTGGTAGTCAGTAAAGCAGGGGGGATAAATTAGTGACTTCCTCCTACATACTGAACAATTTGCTGAACATCTTGTACACTATCCAGGTCACCCAGATAAAAATCTAAGGGGGAAAAAACAGCAAAGTCCAAGTAGCTATGAGTATGCCCAGAGAATAAAAGCAATTTCTAACCCAAAGGTAGTTCAACAAACTTGTTTTAGCTGAAAATTAATCTTTGCGCATTTGTTGTTTCTTTCTACTGTCTCAGGTTTCTTTCATTATTGCTGAGACTTGTAGGAAAAGTCCTTGAAATATTTAGATCTTAATATATGAAAAATAAGAAAAACTATTGATTCTTAGGAGTGAGCTAGAGATGAAGACTAGTTTGGGGTGATGAATCAGTATTTTGGGCCTGCTGAAAATGTCAACACAATCCTGAGGCCTCACACTATGCAAGAAAAATCGGTGCATTGTTCCCCTAAAAGAAATCTCTCCTGGGTATGCGTGCAGGATGACACTCAATACCTTTGCTGTTGAATGGAAGCAAAAAGAATGCTCTGTCATCTGGCACAAATGATCAAGGCAGAATATTCTGCAGGCTTTTATTTATGAAAGGAAAAAATATCCAATTGTTGTAACACATTTATTTTCTAGCCTGTGCCTCCGCATTTTTCCGCACAGGAAACGGGATTTTCTATGATTTCATTGTACAGTAGTCCCCAGTTATCCACAGTTTTGCTTTTCTGTGTTTTCAGTTACCCACGGTCAACCGAGAGCCAAAAATATTAAATGAAAAATTCCAGTAAACAATGAATGCTTTAAATCGCTGGCCTTTCTGAGTAGTGTGATGAAATCCGCCGCTCCTCGCAAGAGGACAGTCACCCTGTGCCCAGCGTATCCGCGCTGGAGGTGCTCTGCGAGCCATGGGTGCTTGGCCACGTCTTGGTTAGAGAGCCACTGCTGCAGTGTTGAAGTTCTCGGGTTCAGGTAACCCTGCTTACTCAGTGATGGCCCTAAAGCGCAAGAGCAGCGATGCTGGCCGTCAGGCATGGAAAGGAGAAGCCGTGAACGTGCTTCCTTTAAGTGAAAGGTGAGTGCAGTGCAATGAAACATTCCCAGAGAGAGACCGCATTCCCATAACTATTATTACAGTGTATTGTTATAACTGTCCTATTTTATTATTAGTTATTGTTGTTAAACCCTTACTGTGCCTAATTTATAAATTAAACTTTATCATAGGGATGTATGCGTAGGAAACAACATAGTATATATGGGGTGTGGCACTACCCATGGTGTTGGGCATCCACTGGGGACCTTGGAAGGTATCTCCCACCACCAAGGGGGGCACCCCTGTAGCTCTTTCTGCAGCGTGGCAGCTCCCACCCGCCGTGGAGGGGGTGGTCACCACAGTGCTGTGTCCGTGAGGACACACGGGCATAGCCTTCATCCCAGCGTGCAAGGCACAGCTGACCGGTCTGCGGAGCGCCTGTGTTAGCTCGCCCTGAATGCGTTATAGCGAAGGCTGGTTTATCAGGAATGATAGTAGGGATGGAGGGCTATTTCTTGTTTTTCTGACGTTTTAAAACTGCATAATTCTTAAAGAGTTAGAGAAATCCCCATGGAATTTGGCAAAGAACTAAAGAGATTTCTTTTCTATACCTTTTCTCTGAATGGGCAAGTTTACAGAAAATCTCTGTCAATCATTTAGGCAATGGCTCAACTGTAGTCTAGGACAGCTTGGAAACAAAGAGAAACTCATGGTTCTGTCATCATGAGACTAGGTTGCCAGAGGCTGAATTCTGACTGTGCCCCTTTGCAGCTGAATGACCCTGAAGAAAGTTAGTCAAGTTCTTTGGGCTTCAATTTCCTCATCTATAAAATGGAGATAGTAATGGTACCTGCTTAATTGGGTTGTTTGAGAATTACATCAGATAAAATGTACAAGGTACTTAGTAAATATTAGCTACCACTATTATTAATTTTGAAACGATTATATTAAAAATGCATAGTCCCTTTTCATCTTAGTTCAAATTGCACATATTTGGGGGGATATACCCTCCAAACCTCAGTGCACACACGATTTTAAACTTACTCATTCTTGTCATCGATCTCCATAAATATTTTTTCATGTGGCTACATAGATTTCAAAAGTATTAGTTTCAATAGCTCCATGAAGTTGTTGCACTGCCATGTCCAAGAATGCCACATCCACATAATACTAGAACATCTCTTTGTTGTAAATTGTACAGGTTGTTCCTGTTATTTTACAATTATAAACAAAACCACAATGAGCATCTTGGAACATTTTGTATTCATTCTATTTATATTTTTACTTAGGAACTAGAATTATTAAATATAAAGGTAAGAACTTTAACACAATGACATTTCAGTATAGCTTTCCAAAATGGTTCCCCTAAATTACGCTATCATGTATTGTGTATTTTTTACCACAACCTCACTCCCATTTGGATTATTATTAATCCAGTTTGACTCATTTGATAAGTGCAAACTAATATTTTTATTGTTATTTTGTTTTATTTTCTTTACAATTTATATCTGTTTTTGTGTGAAGCTGTTCATATTCTTTGATCACTTAACTATTTGGGTTATTTTTCTTATTTACTTAAATATGGATATTAACCCGTTTTCACATTTGGTGAAAATACTTTTTTTCCTCAATTGTTTTGTAATTTACATATTTGCAATTTAAAATTTTTTTGTATATTTGAATATTTTCCTTTGAATTTTATTGTTGCCTATGGGCTGCATTCAGATAGGACTATCTTGGTCTTCCATTTTTTTCTTTTATTTTTCCTTAAATAAATAACTAACTTTGGGATTTACTTTGATATACAGCATAAGAAAATGGACACAGACAATAAGGCCCAGGGGGGTGCACAGAAGCGGGGTAGGGGCCGAGGGGGTCAATGGAGGGAAAAAAGGGTGACATTTGTAAAACTTTCAACAATAAAGATAAATTAAAAAAAAAATATCCTAGTAAACCATTAGATTAAACACCTGATATTTAGTTTTTTTAGATACAATATTATAAATAAAAGAGAACTACAATAGGATAGTATAAGAGGCTGAGAGCAGACAGCAGATTCTTTGAGTAGGGAGTCTCTTTGCTTTTGCTTTCTGTTAGATTGTCCTGATTTCAAATAACAAACTCCAAAGAAAAGAAAAAACCTGTACCCCAAAGTAGAAAAAGTTTAGAACTAAGGATAATGTCAAGGTCTCATTATCTCCTTAGATCAGCAGCTCAAATTTATCTTTTCTTTCCAGGAAATTAATCTTAAGCATGCCACACTCTTCACACTTTTGAATTAAGGGGTGCTTAATGTACTTAGTACAAGCCAGAAATATTGATTTCTTAATGTAATACTTAAACACATATATTGTGGCACCGATTCCTGGCAGAAACTATTTTAATTTAATTCTTTTAATGAGTAAAAAATAAAAGTGCTGTTTGTGGTTAGGAATCTAAGTGTACTTAGCTTTAGGTCCAGCTTGGTAAGGTTACAATCCAGAATTTCTAACAAAATATTGTGTTTCGCTTAGTTACTTCTCTCTAGACACAACAAAACTTTGCCTTTGGCTTTTTAACCATTTTATTTCAGTACCTCAAACATTTATTAAGGGCCTCCTTCATACCAAGCACTGTGCTCAGTGCTAAGGGTAAAAAGATAGATAATAAAATAATTCTGCTGGGGTAACTTTAAGCCAGGTCGTAGACAGGCACATAGATGATTGAAATATAATTTAATAGATCCTGAGATTCAGACCATTTAACTGCTTGTGTCAAAGATTTTAAGGAAGGCCCATAGTTTACTCCTAGCAGGGACTATTCTTCTCCCCCTTACTGACACTGTTGCTGGTCCAACTTAAAAGAGCTTCAGAGCCTCACAGATTCCCTTCCCTTCCCACCACCCCCCACCCCAGTTCTTCTACCTTTTTTTTTATCATCACATACTACCTAAGCACTCTACCCCAAGAAGGAAGCTATACTTAGAATTAATTTTCTACCTTCCCCTAAGACGCCATGAGACTAATCATGCCCCACACTTTCATTGGTCTCAGTTGCCACCAGAAGTCCAAGCCTATGAGATCAACACAGAAAACTCTCATCCATAGATTTCTGTAATCCCTTTATCTTGACCCACTCTCCCATCCCTTTCAAAGCTGCAGCCCCTTCCGATGTGGTCACTGGAACTCAGAACTTGAACAGCATACTCTCTTTTACCTTCAGACTCTTCTCAGAAAATTCCTTCACCTTTTTGCTCTAAGACCTGGCTCTCCCCACTGCAAACTGCATACCTGGTGCCCTTGCAGAAGGTGGTTGCTTTTGCTTCCACAACCCACACTTCCAGGCCTTAGAAGTGGGAATAGGAAAACAGACATTCTTCTTCTTTCTCATCATTGCTTCTCTTTCAGAAACCCCAGTTCCTTTAAGGTTATGGTAGGCTGCTTTCATTTGCTACACACCCAGTCATTCTGCTTTATGCTTGGAAGATTTTAGCAACCGACTCACTGAATGTCTTTACTCCATTACTCTTGACATCATTTTTTGTGACTTCGACATCTACATATGTCATTGATTCTCAAATTTGGCTGCACATTTGAATCATTTGGTGGTGTTTTTAAAGATTATATTTGTGCTCAGGTCCTCCCCAAGTCCCATAGAGACTGATTTGGTTACTCAAGATAGGATTCAGACATTAGGTATTTGCTTGTGTGTGTGTTTTTGTGTGTTTTTTTTAAAAATATATCTTTATTGATTTCAGAGAGAGGAAAGGAGAGGGAGAGAGAGAGCTAGAAACATCAATGATGAGAGAGTCATTGATCGGCTGCAGCCAGCACCCCGGGCATGTGCCCTGATCGGGAATCGAACCCCGATCGCCTGGATCCTAGGTCGACACTCAACCGCTGAGCCACGCCCGGCCGGGCTTGTGTGTGTTTTTTTAAACGCCCAGGTTGATCTGGATGTGCAAGAAGAATTCAGAGCCACTTTCTTAGGAGATCCATTCTAGTTCCTTGACCGCCTCACTCCAACACCTCTTCCTCCTCTCCACTCTCCCCCCAACCAGGTCCACCTACTCCCACAGTCATAGCCTAGATCTTTTTTATTATCAGTAACCCTTCACACCTTGTTTTCCATCATCCCACTTCCTGATATTCACAGCACCTCCTCCTGCCTCCTCGCTCAAGAGAACCGCCACTCCAGTAATTCATAGATCTACCCCGTGACATTTTCTCTGTTCAATTCTCTCCTCTTGTCCTTGCTTCTTTCTGTACCCAGCTTAGATTCCATAGATTGGTACCATAACTCCCTTGCATGCACCCTCAATTCATTTCTCCTTTATCTCTATTGCACGTCCCTGGCAAAACCCAAACTCTAGTTATACCCAATTCTGCCTGCTCCACATGTGCTCAAGCAGCTAACTGGGTTGGAAGAAAAACACATTTGCCTTACATATATGGCTGCCATTCTCAAGTAGGTTCTCAGCACTGGAAAGTAATTCTGCTGGGATTCTCTGACCAGTTTCCTGTCCACTTTTTTCAGATGACTGTTTTATATCTTAGTCTCTCTTTTCAAACCTACAACACTCCCTCGCAGTCTTCATGCTCAGCTAATAACTTCAATGGTTAAAATTTGACTAAGAAAATAGAAGCAAGCAGGAGAGAACTGCTTCCTTTTCCCTTCACCAAATCTACCAACCCAGCTTCATGGCCTCAGGCTGTTTTCCCTTCAGTTAAAAAGAATAAGCAGCTCCCTGCTCTTCTTGAGGATAAACCCTCCACTCTGGGCCTCACTTCCTGCACGCAGACTTTCCCCTCTTTCGAGATCATTCTCATCAGCATAGGAATAGACATCCCATCTCAATAAAACAAAAAAACCCCAAACCTTTCCTAGACTTCCTGTCACATTCTAGTTCCAGCTGCATTCCTGGGCTGCTCTTTTTCGCAAGACTTCTTGAGAATTTTTTGTATTCGCTGTCATACTTTCTCACCTCCATCTCTTTAACTCACCTCAACTGGAATCTTGCCCTCACCACTCCCCTGAAATTGCTCCATGGATATCACCAGTGATCTCCGCCTTTCTAAAAGCAGTGGTCAATCTTCAGTCTTCATTTTATGGAACCTCCTGGCATAGTCGCCCTCTCCTCCGGAGCACCTTGTTCTTGGCCCTCCCGCACTCCCCGCTTTCCTGACTGTCCTCTCGGCTCACATTGTTGCTCTCTGGTTTCCTTTGCAGCCTCCCGCTTCTCTCCACAACTCTGACTGGTGGAGCGCTCCAGCTTCAAGCTCTTGGCCTTACCCTCCTCACTGTCTGTACTCACTCCCAAGGTGATCTCCGCCAGGCACAGGCCTTTAAATAGCATCTTCATGCTGATGATAATCAGGCTCCACCCTCTCCCCTTAGCTCCAGGTTTGAATCTCTAACTATCTAGTGGATACTTTCACTTGTATGTCTAAGAAGCATAACTAAAAACCATTCATTAATAACTTATTATTTGTTAAAATTATTATAAAACAAAATTATTCATTTTTCCTTCTCAGATCTGCTCTTTACACAGCTTCTCTTTTTTAGTATATGGAATGACCATTGCCTGAATCGCACAATCAAATATCTAGGCATCCCCTCAACTGTCTCCCTTATACTTTCAAGAAACTTTGTTAGCTGTGTCTTTAAAACATACCTTGAACCTGACAATTCCCACCTCTATCATTTCAGTCCAAGTTATTATTACATCTGGCTATGATATTAAATTCCTAACTTGTCTTCTTATTTTTGTTCTAGCTTTCCTCCAATCAGTTCTCTCCAGATTACACTTTAAAAATAGAAAGTTGTGCATAAGCCTGCTTCAAACCCTCCTGCAGTTGGCTCCTCCACTTTGAACAAGGTAAATCCTTACAAAGGCTTCCAAGGCCTTCTGCCACCTGACCCTCGAATCACCTTCCTGATTCACCAGCGCCCCTGGGCTCGGCCTGCTTAAGTCAAGCTGGCTGGCTTTGCTTCCTGGAATTCACCAGGCTTGCTCTCTTTCAGGCCTCTGTACTAGTCATTCCTTCTGTAGGAAGAAATACCCAGACTTCCCTGCCTAAAATCAAGCCAAGGCTGTCTAATCATATTCTGTTCCCTTACTTTCCTTAATTTAGTCCATATTACTCATCACTACCTGAATTTAAATGAAATATTTGTTGACTTTTTAATTATTTGTCTTACTAAAATGTAAGCCTCCTGAGGGTAGAACTTTTTATCTGCCTTATACATAGTGGAATCCCCAATGCTTAAAAACAGAGCCTAAGGTTTAGAGATTCTCAATAAATATTTGTTCAATGAATGAAAGAAAAGTGTAAATCATCACCCAAACTGACTTAGTCATGCAAACAGGTTACCTTGTTGATATTGCTTTGTTACTCATTAAGAACCAACATATAACTATTTATGTGTTCATGTGCCACCTGAAAGCATCTTGCTTATCTTAGAATCTCATGACAGTTACCACACTTCGATGAGCACTATTCTCAACTCTGTAAACATATATCTGCTCCTCTGACTGGTTCAACCAGGGGTGGGTACCTGGCCAAAGAACCACTAATCTATTGTTTGATTACTGACCAGACAGTTGGCCTGGTTTGAAAATTTGGTCAAAAGGATTATTATTACTTAGTTAGATGGATGTCTGCTTCTGGGTAGGATGGAGTAGCTGGCAGCAGACCATCATTACTGTCTTGTTGACAATATTAGAAAAATTTTAATACCCTGAATGTCCAACATTAGAGGACTGGATAAATGCATAGTATAGAATATTATACAGTCATTAAAATGATAATATAGGCCTTTGAAAGATAGACTTTCTATGTAATGTGTATTTTCAAGTGAAAGAAGCAGAGAGTAAAGTTGTTTATGCATTGTGACTTCAATTTTGTTAATTCTCTCTCTATAAATATGTATATCTTCACACACAAAAAATGATACAAAAAATTTAACAGGGCTTCCTTTTTCCTAGGTTGTGCTACTGAGGATTATAGAAATATCCCCATTACAGGTAATTTTAGTTTTTCCTATACTTTTATAAATTTTTTCAAATTAAATTAATTTAATTAGAATAAAAACTATTATTTAGAAAGTTTTCCATAAAAACCTATATAAGATTTATGTATTTTTTAGAATTATATTGGTACTTTTGCATTGGGTGTGCGTTATATATAAAACTATATACATAAAATATTACATATCATTATACATTAGGTATATATTTATACCAAGTAATGGATTAGAATTTATTTTATATATTATGTCTACACACATGTGCATACATGCACACACACATAACTTCATAGATTAGTGAATTCCTTGGCAGCCCTTGAACTGTTACTTCAGTTCAAATTCTGGTGTGATTTTATAATAATCCCTTTGAATGGTTGCCAAATATTTACTTTTTATTCTAAAGAAAGTATAATAAAGATTAAGTCTAAGTTCAGTTATATCATTTTATGAGACTTTAAAAGTTAAAGTCCAGTTGTTTAAACTGTGGAATAATTAGAGCTTTATTTTAACATTATTATTCCTTTTATAAATTCAAATATATCTCTGGTTAGATTATAATGATCTCCTCTTTAACCCCTAAATGCTGCATACATCCAGAGTAGAAAATTATAAAGAGTAGTTTATTATAATTCAAATATTAACACCTAGGACTGAAAATTATTTGAAATAACAGCTTTAAGATGATGTGGAAGAGAATAATAAATAATAAATATATTACTTTTGAGAAGTAAAACTAATGGGCTTAGTTTGTATTTAATTAGGAAGTCCTTTAATTTTTTTGAAAATTGGGTTTAGTCCATTAATTATTTTAATTATTTGACAAATTTATAGAACTTCTGGGTGTCAAGAGCTAAGAATACAATGATGAGAAAGAGAGATGAACCCTTTCTTCTTGAAGTAATGTGTTAGGCTATTGATTATATAATTTATCAGTAAGTTTTATTTATGATACATATTAGGACAGCAATTTTTTCCCTTAGATTGTAAAAAAAAAAAAAATGAAAACAGTCAACACAACAATAGCTATCCCATGTGAATCAAAATTATACCTATTTTTTTGTTAGATCAGCAAAAAATGTAATATGTTTTTCGGTGTGCCACAGAATTTTAATAATTAGTTTCTGTGTGCCATAAGATGAAAAAGGTTGAAAATTGCTGTATTAAAAAGTTGAAGTGGGGTCAAACATTAGGTTTGAGGTGAAATATAGGATCTCAAGGGATTCTTTCTTATAAAGGGATATTTAAAGTTTCTAAACCCTATTGACCTAAAGCATCCAGGCATGGGATAGGATCTGGTTTTCTCTGTAGCCTAGTTGAAATCTCACTGTACAATTTGACACTGATGTGCTTGAAATTCCATACTTAACATTTCCCCAGAGTTAAGCCACTGGAATGAGAACAGAGCCAGGGACTTGCCAATCTGTGAGAAAGTTCTCCAGATACTGTGCTCCTGAAATCCCCAGTGTCATGGCCTCAAATTGTTGTTTGGGTTTAGTCCACTCATTCTTTTGTTTGACAAGTTGATAGGGCTTCTGCTGTGTCAGGTGACATGACCACAAATGGTCAAAATGGACAGATTTATGTGGTGGATGCTGGATGAAAGGATGGACAGAAGGGGAGAAATTATAAGAAAATCAGTTCCTGTCTTTTGAACCCCTACTATGTGCCAAACCTATCATGTGTAATGTCTAACCCTTGCAAAACTCTGCAGCACAGGTATTACTGTAATTTAAAGATGAGGAAACTTAGGCCAAGAAACTCAGAAGGTCTCATGCAGGGTTACTTAGCAAATACAGAGTAGGTATGTGATTAAAATTAAGGTCTTTTAAACTCTAGAGCTAGCACCATTTTTAAATACCTCAGTGCTAGTAGCAGAATATCTACCCAGGGAGGAATGGGGGTGTAAGTGTACAAGAAGATGTCAATGTATTGTAATGATGCTAAAATACAAGAATTAAGGATGCTAGCTAATAAAACCATTTAATATTATATAAATGTATAACTGCTTAATTTAACTTATTTCTGGGAACTTGCTATTCTAACTGCAGTTTGTTTTTTTTTTTAACCCCTCCTCTGCCCTGATCATGCCAGGAATTGGTTCAGCAGGAAGCACAACATAGCTTATGCATATAGGCCATTGTGGTGATTGAATTTTTTATTTCAAGTCCCATTTTCCCATAAAAGATTTATATCATTCTTTTCCTTGCTTTGCTTTTGTAGGAGTGAAGTATATTTTTTCTACTTTTCTACTTTAGGCTTAGACATGTAAGTTGCTTTGATAATGCGGTGTTGGTGACATAAGCAGACCAGAAACATGCCTGAATGTTCTACTTGCCAGTGCTCCACCATGAGAGGAACATGCCTTGGACAGGTACTTCCCATCAACATAGTCCCAGAACGAAGACACTTGGAACAGACTTGAACTGAACCTACAGCCAGGAGCCAAGACTGGCAGATCCACACTCTGAAAGAGCTCTAGATTAGCTGGATCTTATCATGTACGGATCCACAAAGGTAAGAATAAACATTTATTGCTGTAAGCCACTGAGTTATAGGGATCATTTGTTATGCAGCAATATTATGCCTCTAGGTGACTGAGATAACCATGAGGTACACACAAAATTATTGAAGATGCATAAGAAGGAACATCTTCATGGTCTTTAGTCATTCTGGTCATCCAAGACAGAAAGTCGGAAATGACGGACCATGAGTAAGGGACTTGAATACATGGCCTGAACACATGTGAGAGAACTGTTTGTGGGTGTTTATTTGCATGACCAGGGGAGAGTTTGAGGGCAAGGGGTGGAAGAGAGACCTACCAGTGTGAAAACTCTTCCCCAGCCAGACTCCTAAGCTTAGCTCTAGGAGCCAACCAAACATTGCCTGTCAGTGGGTGGGAATAGTATAAGGAACAAAGGATTAAGGCAATTGTCTTGGCTCTCTGCTCTGCAGCCTGACAAATGAAATTAAGAAATTGCTAAACATAGTTTTTATGTTACTAGCTGACTTCATAATAGTAACCACATTTCATTTCCCTAGAGAAAGGTCTTTTAAGTCAACTAAGGTTTAGGCCTCATTAGATATATTGGTGTATACTTTGCTCATGAAGTAAGCTGTAGATTAAAGTCACTGGAACAAAGTACTAAAAATGAAAGGTGCTTGAGGCAATTTTAGTCTCAGTATAGATCATAGCCTGGTGAAGGATTTACCACAGAAATATATTATTCAGACTTATGCAGGTGGGGATTTACTGTAATATTTAATAAAAACACGTATGGGGCTTATCATGAAATATGCTCATGTGATGTGTCTGACACCCCTCAGGAATTTGGCACGAACACTAAAGCTCTGCTATGTGGTGCCAGAGACACTAATATGAGGTGGTTTACTGCAGGAGACACAACTGTTTGATTTCTGCAGTAGACCACAGAAAACAGCACTTAGCTCAGTGAAAAACATCCATGTGCTAGTCCCACATTTAAGCCATTGTCTGATAGAGTTAAACCATTTTCTGATAGGTTTCTGTGCTTCACTAACTCCCTTTTATTGACTTTTTAAAAGTTCTTGGGCTTCTTACGTAAAAAGCTGTACTAGAACTGGGAGGATGCTTTTGTCAGTTATGTGAAATAGTCATAATTGTAAGATAACAAACATATATTTCAGAAAAACTCCTTTATTCGGCCAATTTTTAAATTTTTGAAGCCATATGCTGTATGACGATACATGCAGTCAGCCAGTGCTTCACATCCATTCTGGGGTATGGGTGGAAGAAATAATAATGTCATTAAAGAAGACAAACAGAAACTTCACCTTATTGTCTTCTTCATAGTCCAAATTATGAGACTCTTTTATCACAAAGTATTTCTGTATTGAGGTAATTAACTCCCTTTACTTGGGACTCAAAATTTCTCATCTAAAATTCAGGAGAATAATAGCCCCCCCAACCCCCCATGTATTAATTTCCTATTGTTTCTGTAACAAATTGTCACAAACTAAGTGGCTTGGAACAACACACATTTATTTTTCATTCTGTAGGTCAGAAGTCTGATGTGGGTCTCAGGAGACTAAAGGTGTTACAGGGCTACATTCTAGAGGCTGCCCACACTCCTTGGCTTATGATCCCCCTTCGGTATTCAAAGCCAACAAGAGCCAGTTGAGCCTTTTTCACATTGTATCACTTTGACACTAACTCTTCTGCCTCTCTCTTCCATATTTAAGAACTCTCATGGTTACTTTGGGCTCACTCAGATAATACAACATAACCTCTATTTTAAAGGCAGCTGATTAGCAACCTTAATTTCATCTGCTACCTTTCTTGTTTTTGCATTGTAACATATATTCATAGGTTTGGGGAATTAGCATGTGGACAACTTTTGGAGACCATTTTTCTGCCTACCACACTTCTCTTCTTTGATTGTTGTGAGGGTCAAATGAGACAATGCATATATAAATTTGACCCATAACAAATACTCAATAAATCCTAGTTAATATTATTTTTGTTACTTTGTAAAGCATGGTTTTAAGTGTGTTACCACCGATGGAATGCTTGCCAATCACTAATACTACCACCCTTCACATTCAAGTAAATATTCTCAGGGATTGGATTTTGAAAACACCACAGTTTTTAGCAGGCTCTGTTGCTAGGCACTTGGGACCTCAGTATCTGCCTGGTTCATAAAGGATGGATCAGGTAATTGGGAAATGCCATGATTTTCAGGATATGACCTTCATTGATAGGATGGTCATCATAGACATACATAACAGTCCATTTTTCAATGTTCATAAGGACCAAAAAGTAAACTAGTACTCAGTCTAGGCTGGTGTTTGATAGCCATGGGAGACAGAGTAATTTTCCAAGTCTTTAGTGCGGCTCTAATTGGCCTATCTGGTTTGGATCAAGGTCCATGCCAGTGGATAAAGAGGGTAATGTCCACTCGCATGGAAAGGTATCTTGATGACTGGATTTCAGCCATGGGCAGCCATAGGACTAACAAGGTAAATGAGATACACAATAAAAAACTAAAGTACAAATTCAGTATTGAACCATAGAACAAACAAGTCAGTTGCTGAGCAAAGAAAGCAGCCTGGCGGAACCGTCTTGGTACGCTGACTACTCTTTTTAGGGGAACAAGACTAATTCCAGATGCATCTGAAACTGCAAACACTTAACTGCTTTGGCCAGGTTTAGTTCAGGGTGTGGGCAGGGTTTGCTTCTGGATGCAGGCCATAGCTGAACAAACCTGGGAAATGGCAGTGCATGACATGTCACTAGATTCACATAGCAGTTTAATATTCGTCATTAATTTAGCAAATAGTTATTGAACTCTGTGTATATATATGTGTGTGTGTGTATGTAGAGGACGTCTAAGCAAAAAGTGATGGGAAAAGTACAGGTTTCATTTATACACCAAATTATATATAAATTTTGCTTCTAAATGTTACAAGGTTTATGACCTGCAGCAAGTTGCAGACCTCTGTGAACCTTAGGGTTGTTTTTTTTTTATCTGTTAAATTATATACAAGGTTGTGTAGATTAAATGACACAACATGGTAAAGCACCCAGAATTGTGGCAGGATAGTAAGAAGCTAGGAAAATCCCTGAGCAAGGGGACTGGGGAAACTGAGACAAGAAAATGAAACAAGGCCAAGCAGTTGGGCAGCTTGCAGCCAGCTTGTGAACGGCAAGACCTTATCTTCCCCAACCAAGGACGCTTGAGAGCAAATGGCTCAGACCCTCCTCCCTAACCAGGGAATACATAGCTCAAGTCACCCTGGCCTGGGAAATAGAGAACAAAGACCCAATTAATGCCATTTGTGCCAGCTCAACCCAAGGACAGATGAAGTCTAGGGAACAAATAACAAAAACCCTATTAAAGCCAAGACAGACCTAAGATAAAAGTAAAACAGTAAAACAGATCAAACAATAATTCAGAATTCCCCTATACACTCATTTTGATGTGTCAGCATATTAAAAATGCACCTGGAAAGCTGATGAATATCCTACTGAAACTCTCCCCTAAGATTCTCACCCGCAGGAGAAAAAAAAAAGGGTAAAAAGCCCTGGGACAAAGACTCAGCATGGTTCACTCCTTCCAGGGTGTGAACTTTTTATTTCTTCCTAAATTCTAAAGGTCCCCATGAGACTTGCAGCCAGGGCAGCAGCAGCTCAACTGGGGCTCATTCTGACCCTGCCTCCAAGATCCCCTTTTCTCTGACTCCCCAGCTTCTGTCACTGTGACCTTCACTTCCCAGTGAGCTAACAGCAGACCCACCTTGGCTCACTTTTTCTAATAACATCTCTAGAGAGCCAAAGCAGAGCATCGCCTAGGCACTCCTCTACTGTTTCTTCTACCCTAATTCCTTCTTTTGTTTCATTGTCCTCAACGTTAATAAACACACTCTCTAACCCATCCGGACTCGTGTTGCAAAATCTTCCCTACACGAAGTCAAGGACCCACACACCACAGGCCGGCCTGAGGCAGGGCTACTCCGGGCTGGCCCCTGTCCAGTAACAGAATGACCTACCACACAGTAGAAACTCAATAAATGACAAATGTATACCAATTTGACAACCGAGAATACAGTTCTTTTTTTCCTTCCCAACTACTTTAACCAGGAACCAAGACCTTTGTCCTTATGAAGAAGAAAGAAACTCTTTGTAGAGCTATTGACAAACTCTTTGAAGTGAGCCTCCAACTCTAAGTGCTCCCTGTGCCTCTTTAAAGCAAACTCAAAATACAACATTTAGATTTATTATCTTTGAAATTCACTTGGCTCTTTGGAGGACAGTTTTTAATCAAATCTGGAAATTGTTTTGGCTGGTATGTCTGTATAGATACAGACATACACTTCTTAAAAATTCATTTTTCTCTTCTCTGATGGAATTCTAATTACACACAAGTTAGATCGCTTGATATTATCCAAGATCACTGGAGCTTTGTTCATTTTTGAGGCTTCCTTTTGTCTGACTTCATCTTTTCTGGGAGGAAAATCCTTAATTTACTCCTCAGGCCTGTAAGACTCTCAATTTTTTTGGTGCTCTACATTCAAACACCACAGAGACCAGAGAGGCCCTCAGGGGAAAAGCTAGATAAACCCTGTGTGATTCCCTAATTTCAGGGGTCACAGCATCTCATTTTCTGCCTGCTTTTGGTCACTCTCCAGTGCCTTTAAATTGTTGGGTTTTAAATATTTTGTGCAGAGTTTATCACGGCTTTCTGAAGAAAGATTAGTTTCACACAAGATGTTCTGTCATTATGAAGCTGGAAGTCTCTGAGATCATAACACTGAACTTCCATTAAAACCTTTCAAGGAAGGAAGAAAAACTCTCTGCTGAAAGAAGCACTGGTAATGTGATGAAGGAGTTTAGACAGAGTGTGACCTGGTGTGATCCACATTTTACATGGATCTCTCTGGTGGAACAGTGTGGGTCTGAAAGAAAAGTAAGAACTCGATTCAGGGAACCCAGTTAGGAGAATATTGCAATACTTAAGGCGAGAGATATCAAGGGCTGGAGAGGTGGTTCTAGAGAGCGAAAGATGGATCTGAGTGATATTTAGGCAATGCAGTTGGCTGAAATCAGAGACTAAGTCGATATCAGGTGTAAGGTCTAGCATGCTTCCCAGATTTTTATTTTGGTGCCTAGTAGCAAGAACAAGCCATCACGGAGACTGAGAACACAGGAGGGTGAACAGATTTAGGGGCAGAGGAATTGAGAAGTTGGTTGTTTTCGTCACAAATACACATCCAGGGTAGACTTCCCAACACTTAGTTTGGTAGGCTCTACATATTTTTTAGGAAAAACAAACAAACTGGATATCTCAGTATTTCAAAATAATACCTTGATTAATAGGACTTCAAATTTGTTATGTTGGGTTTCTAAAATATTTTCCCAGCAAAAGATAAGTAACATAAAATAAAATATATTCTCAGCATATTGATCCTCAGCAGGACAGAATTCCAATATTTATTTTCAGTATTCTTATTTTCCTCAATCTCCTATAACATTCATTATACTTCTTATAGGAACAGTTGGTATGTGGCTGTCTTCCAGTATCTTTTTCTCAATGGTTTCTGTAGATACGGAATAGTAATATGCATTTTAAAAAACACACATATAACTATTGAAGATTCTCCATGCTATGAATAAATTGATATTCCATATGCTTTTTGTAATCCTTTAAAATGGAATCTAATTATGGAACTCCATTAAGATTTTGATTGTTTCAATTATATAAAGAACATTGCCCCAATCTGTTGGCCACATTGTCGACAGTGACATTTTTTCTAAAACAAGAAGCCCTTCAATTGCCTCTTACTTTCCTTGGGGGACAGTGGGGGGGGGGGGCAGTTCCTTAACATGGCTTGCAGTATTCTCCTCAATCTCATCCTTATGTTTCAGCTTCATCTTGAGACATTGTACCTTCTCCCTTTGAATTCCAGCCATTCTGAATTTCTGTCAGTTCCATGTTTTCACTATGCTTTCATTTCACAAACCAACGAATGCTTTGGAGAGTGTTTCAAACATAGTGTTACCTCTACTTCTTTTCCTAACCCCAACTCACCTGCCATTCAGGTACCTTTTTAGGTGGCACTTCTTTCAGAACTTTTCTCGACTGTTCCTCTCTACGAGAATGCTCTGAATTTCTTCTGTCACAACACACATCCAACTTTGTCAAAGCTTCTTATTTAATTAGCTGCCTTGATTCTACACTGTAAGCTCCACGGGAACCAGGACCATGTTTTACTAGATCTATTTGCCTGGCATTTAGTAGATTCTCAATAAATATTTTTACAAAAAAATTGCCTATTCCAGAACCTTTTAAAGAAGACAAACTATTTACCGTTCTACTAGTTTAAAGCCTTAAAAGTTAGGAATTAGATCCTTAGGTGTAACTTGATTCCCATTTATACCCATTTCAGACTCTTCTGAATCCCTCTGGCTTCAGTGGAAAAAGGGAAGCTTTATGATATGCCACCATCATTATCTTTTTTAATTATAGCTAAAGAGGCTTAGAAACTTGGGGAGAGTTTGTTAAGTAAGTTGGAGTACGTAGACTATTTTCCTCATTAAACAGTTAATCAGTGTCTTTCAAAAATAGTCACTGAGGACATTTAGGACTAGGAGTTAAAATGCCAAGTCATTGGTAGACTAGTTTGACATCTGCATCAAGAGTGTGACTTACAATGTTATATGTCAATTATATCTCAATAAAGTAGGGGGAAACTAGTTTATTAGTAATAATCAGAAAATAATCTCTCTTGGAATTCAGCAGTAAGAAAATTTATTCATTCTGAAAGCCACAAATGGCATCCCAACACTTCCCATGGAGATTCAGGCAAAAATGCTTGAATATTTGACATTATTCACGTGTCTTCTACTTCTTGCAGTAGAGACTTACAGAAGAGCAATTCAGGACAGAAGTAGAAATAGCAAGAGCTGTAGAAATGTGGTTGATGAAGTTTGCAGCTCTGAGTTTAGAACAGTTGCAAAGCAGATAAAAAAAGCTCCACCTTTAGTGTATCGTCCTGTTACCAGGAAGCGACCAGTCTGGCATACAGCAGTGTGGGTATGTAGGAAAAAAATCCACGAGGGTTAGAAATACAAATTTAGGACAAGGGAGAGGCAAATCCAGACTAATACTGACCCAGATCTCAAGTCTGATCACAGCTGCTTAAAAGCATCACCTATTACCCCGGTGAAGAAGGCTTGGTAGATAACATCAGAGTATACAGCAGTTATATTTTTATGTTATTTATAATTTGTTCTATATGTGTATGCTTGAGAGAATTTTAAACAATTTAAAGACTATCAAAAGATCTCTAACTTCCTGGGAGAAAATGTGAAACTCCAGTCACTGTTATTGTGCTCAGTGCATGGAGACATTTCTAAAACTGAAGATTGATGGACTGGGTCAGTTCCCCCCTCCGAGATGTTTGCATTTAAATTGGTAGCATTTCAAATATTTCATGTAAATGTTCTTCACTCTGAACAAATTTCTAGTAAAATATGAAAGTGAGAACAGGTCTTTAAAACTGGGTGTGGAAGTAAAACTTTGAAACAATTTTCACAGTTCCTGCTCTCTCCTTCTTTCTCTCTGCCACCATCCCCTTATTCCGGCACCATTTCTCTCATAGGTGGTGGTAAAATGGAATCACAGGTAAAACTTTCAAAAATTTAAGGATATTTGTGTTTTGTTCACAGCCCTCCCACCATTCAGGAAAGTTAAATCTCTAAATAATTAAGGCAATGCGTTGCAATTTTTCCAACTGATGGACAAAATCCAGTCCTTATAGAGGAATAAAAGGCCTATAGTATTTTGGGGAAATGCTCCATAAGCTATGCAAATAAATTATCTATCAAAAGGGCCCCACTTCTAAAAGTTTGTTTCCTCTCAGACACAAGCATAATACAGCCCCGTATAAGAAAATGCTAGCATATATATAGCACTTCAGTTGAAAATCCCTTCAGGTGATGAAAAAGGTACCATGTGCTTGGGAAAATGGAGCGCTCAGGAAACAGGGGTTCCTTCTGTTGTTGCTGTTAAACAGATTCTTGTCTTCGTGAGCTTTGTTACGGTCTCAGTAATGGCTACAAGCTGACAGAAAACTTGATCGGAGGCAATTATCCCTCTGAACCTACCTGGGGGTGACATCCCAGCCTCACCTCCCTAGAGGGCAAACACATTTCTTTCAGAGTTGAGCCTAGTGCAGAAGTGAGTCCTGAGGCTAGAAATGAATGCATTCTGTCAGCTTGTTATATTTAGGGAGGTTTGCTCTACTTTCTTGTTTTCAGCAGATTTCCTTTTACCTCAGCATCTGTTTATCTTGGCTGAAAGCATGTGAATTAATGGAAAGAAACTGCTCACCTTGATGTTCAAGTGAGTTTTCTTTTTCTTATTTTATTTATTGATTGTTTCTTTTAAAATCTTTATTGATATATTTTGACAAATAAAAATTTTATATATTTAAGGTGTACAATATGTTTTGATATATGTATATGTTGTGAAATGATTTATCACAATCAAACTAATTAAAACATTCCATCACCTCACATAGTTACCTATATGTATGTTTGTGGGGGGTGAGGACATTTGGGATCTATTCTCTTAGTAAATTTCAAGTATATAATACATTATTATTAACTATAGTCACCATACTGTACATTAAGTCCCAAGAAATTATTCATCTAAAAACAAAGTTTGCACCCTTTGATCAATATTGCTCCTTCCTCCCACCTCCCTCTCCCAGCCTCTGGTAACCACCATTTAATTCTGTTACTATGAGTTTGACCTTTTTTTTTTTTTTTAGATTCCACATATAAATTAGATCATGCAATACTTGGCTTTCTATGTTTGGCTTATTTCACTTAGCAAAACAGCCTTCAGTTTCATCCATGTTTTTGCAAATTGCAGAGTTTTTTTCTTTTTAAAGGCTGAATAATATTCCATTGCATATATGTACACCATATTTTCATGATACATTCATCTGTTGAAAGACACATATCTTGGGTGCTAACTGCCTATCATGTCCCAGAAAAAAATTCTTTATTCAATTTTTACTTGTTTATTTACTTGTTCATTGACTAAACATTTATCGAGCACCTACTATGCATGAGGAATTGTACTGAGGGTAAGGGGCAAGATGATTATAAAAATAAATAAAGCCACCTTGGCCAGGTGGCCCAGTTGGTTGGAGTGTCGGCCCCCACACTAAAAGGTTTCGGGTTTGATCCCCTGCCAGGGCACATACCTAGGTTGTGGGTTTGATCCCTGTTTGGAGCACATATGGGAGGCAACCTATCGATGTTTCTCACATTAATGTTTTGTTTGTTGTTTTCCTCTCTCCTCCCTTCCTCTCTCTTTAAAAATCAATAAAGACCATTTTCTAAACAAAGGATATGCAAATTGCTATGAACACGAGGGGATCCTGGAGGACGTCATTGAGAAGGTGGCATTTTTGCTGCATTTTGAAGGATAAGAAATATGTCAGTACAAAGAAGGATATTCTGGGCAAACAATACAATTTGCAAAGGCACAGAAACAAGAAAGTGGTATTTGTTCTATTTAGGAAGCATCAAGGATTCGTATAACTGCAGCATAGGGTGTGTGTGTGTGTGTAAATGGCTGGACATGGTTGACATAGTTTGGGACTATCTTTCCATGAGTGGGGTATACTGGAAAGTTTTCATGCTGTTTTTAGAGAATGAGCATAAATTGTCTCCACAATATCTTCTCCATAGTCCAATTCAAATTTAGGAATAGCCTGGATTAGAATTATATCTCTCTAGCTTCTCTCTTGTCCCTATCTGTTCTTTTTAGACAGCTGAATTTGCAGGTTTGATATGAACCAGTGGCTGAAAAATATTCCCCGGTCAACTGGTTTATCTTGTTACTGACATGAATAATCGAATTCAATTGGGTTAAATGAGCTGTAACCACTGTCAAAGCCATTAGCAATCTAAGAGCCTCCAGCCAAAGGAACTCTTTTTGTATATCTTAGAGTTTTCCTCGTGAAAGGAAAACCTCAGACAAAAGGGGAAAACGTGTTTCATTTACAAGCTCAGTCCTCTAGGGTCTTCTCATCAGCTCTGTGGTTTGATTTTTTTTTTCCTTTCGTTTTTCCTGGATATTAAGAGTAGTGCTATTTTCTTGATAATCTCAAATGTATCATCTTTTCTGGGTAGGATTAAAAACCTGGCTACATCAAAGCTTGTATATTGTCCAGATTTTCAAAAGGGGGGAAAAAAAGAGGGGTTGTAATCAAAACCGAAACAGAGGAAACTGACACCAGCTCCGCCTTTGGAGAGATTGTTTTGCCCACTGCCTGGGCCGGGGCACCATGCGGCTCCCAGATCACACGGGGGCCCAGGCAAGGGGCTGGCTCCTGGGACTGGCAAGACGGTGGCCTCACAGGACTGTCAGGAAGAGGAGACCTTGACAGAGCTACGTAAAAACCTAAGTGAGCTGCAAATGGACCTTTATTAAACAAGCTTAGGTCCACTTTCAACTGGTCATTTTCCTTTAAAGAAAATATCGTCGCAGGCAAAAGCGATATCTGAGGCTTTCTATTTAATAACTTTATTAAAATGTCAAGAGACTAGAGATTACTTACGCCTGCCTGATGCATTTTCGAATATCACACTGTCCCTGCTGAAATGATCGATCAAGCCAGATATCCGAGATGAAACGGAAACCCCCACCACTGTTTCCCATGTCTTTTGGGTCGAAGTAAATAAAATGAAAGCAGAAAGAAAAAAAAACTGAAGGGGGTTTTAATGCCTCCTATAGATTTCATTTTCCCAGAGTGCTAGAGGGCAATATTATAAATAACATTTATGCAGACACCCTTGCTCCCCAGTGCCTCAGACAGATTCTGTCTCTTTTGAAGTTCAGGCAGGAGGAGATGAGCTCCAGTCTTAGCTGAATCCTCTTGTATTAGAGATTTAGTTAAATCCTTCAAGCTTAATCTTGACCTTTGTTTAGAAAATAAATGGTTGATTTCCAATGGCAAGCTCTGAGAGTTCAGGTTGCAAGGAGCACCGCCAAGTTTCCTTAAACACTACTCGTGTATTTCTAGTGAGAGAATATGCCTTAGGCATTACTGGAAGTCCAGGGAACATAGGCCGCTGGTGGTCCTCATCTGTCCAAGCTCTGTCTTGGGAGCAGACACAGACAGGAAGACCTGGGAAGGGCACTCTATTTATCTTTCTTGGCCTACTGGGCATGGAATTTTAGCTGCAATGTTCAGCTGGGATTCCCCTGGCCTGGTGTCCCACCTTTAATACTTGGAGAGGTCTGTTATCTCTAGACTTAGATATATATATATATGTATATATATATATATATAAAAAAGATTTGTTGAAATAATTGAAACTACACTTCGGAATAGAAATTATATAGAGTTTATAGTACCTTCGCTTACGCATAATTACTCATTATAAATAATTATTTAAATTATATAATTACTTATTATAAGTGAAATTTGTAGGTTTCTGCCCACACTTCCAATCCTTTCTTTCCGAGAAGAAGCCAGCGTGTGTTGGTTAACTGCCTCTGGTTTGGTCTCATTGGATTTCTTTTCCTTTGTTATCTAGACCCCATTTATTCTTATCTCTATGATGTTTACTGACCTTACTACGATGGTCACTTCTTTGTAAGTCAGTGTTTCTCGGGAATAGCAAAAACATTCTGGTCATTGAATTATTTCATTCATGGTCCTTATCAAGTGTATTAATTGAAGGTGGGACACCAGGGTGTCCCTCTGGAGCCACCTCTCTTTCCATTTGCCTGGATCCCCTGCTTTCTGCCCCCACCGGGCACTGTCTGCTTGCCACCCGTCAGCCTGCTCCCTCCACACCCTTCTTAAGAGTAGAACTGAAGAGAATTGTTAAATTTTGCTTCTTTCGGAAAGAAGAACTTCCAGACTGAGTCTCCGTTGAAAACGGATCCTCCATTTGGCAGAAAGATGAATGCTATGCCCTTTCCTATGTAAACATGACTGAATTTGCTCCTTGGCTGCTCTAGACATTCAGGGGTGTCAGCCTTTCAAAACCATTCTCAGTCTTATATGTGACATTCCACAGTGACACGAATTATTTTAAGGAATATCCTGAAATACTTCGCCCCCAAAAGCACTTAATAGACATCTTCTGAAACTTTAGGAAGAAATGGGTAATAAAATCAAACAAATTTCAATAATCAACCAGCAATCAAGCATTTGTTGGACACCTATATCACACCTCTGTTGGTTTGTCTATATTTTATTAGCAATGATGGATTATGTACAAAGCGTATTATTTTTGCTGTCTATTATATATTCGTCAAGTAAATATGATGTAATAGAGAAAGCATCGTGAACACTGGTAGCACAGCCCATAATTTGAAGATAAATTAGGTGCCAGTGTATGTGAATGTGTACATATCGACTAAAATCGCTTTCTGTTTTCTCAGCTTGACCAGACTTTAGGCAGGCTTCTTCCTGACTCTAGGCCCTGACCTCCCTTTTCCTGGAGCATTTACATAAGAAAATTTATCATTGTAAATTCTTTCTCTGTTCCTTTGTAATTCTTTTCTTTTAATTTTAATTTTTTGAGGAGGGGGCTGCCTCCTGAGTATTATTTATTATTAATTATTTATTATTAATAATAATAATTATTTATTATTATTATTTTAAAATTTATTGTGGTGACAATGGTTAATATGAATATAAAGGTTTCAGATGTGGGTTTCTATGTTACAAGATCTGTTTATTGCTCTGTGTGCCCACCACCCAAAGTCATATCTTCTCCCGTCACCATATAAAGCCTCTTGCCAGTTTTACATCCAGGACTGATTTCTCACTGGCCTGAGAGATAACATTTGAAATGTAATCATCAAGGAAGCTTAGGCCCCTATCTCCTGGTCTCTGAGGCAATAAACAGCAAACACAGCCTGATCACAGAGCAAAACACGGTATTCTGTTATAGCAGCCATTATTATTTCCTAAAATCTTCCTGTAGCAGACACAGACTTGCACTTCTCAGATGTTCCTCCAAGAAGGGACTGGCTGCCTGACTATGAGGAATTCCACTGACTGGAGGCCTCCAGCCATCTCCTTCACAGTCCTCAGCTTTCAAACAGAAGGCATGTCTTTCTTGGAGTGCTCTGGAAAACCACTAGGCCACGTGGTAGTAGCTGTTTTGTGCTTCTCAGGATTGCTCTGACCAATAATTGATCAAGGCAGGGTAGGTACAAGGGCCCAGCCCTTTCCACCAAGCTCAAGATGACACTAATGAGCAAATATTGATCTGGAACTCTCCTATGGCCTGGCAGAGACCTTGCTAGTCTGCAACGAATCTGAGAGCTATCCCTGCCCAACCCTGCCTTCTTTCCTTCCATTTTATTCCCAATAAGTCTTTCACATTCCTCACTGCATTTCAGGGTCTACTTCCCAGGGAAACCAACCCCAACACTTTGCCCAAACAAACATATATATCAGCCGTTTTCAACCTGTGTGCTGTGAGAATCTTTAAAACATGTGATACCTGACTATTTAGTCAGGAGCACTGGCCTCTTTTACCTTAAAAAAACAACAACAGCCAACACAACAATAGCCATTGGGTGTGAATGAATCAAAATTATACTTTTTTGTGTGTGTCAGATGGGCAAAAAATATATTTTTGGTGTGCGGCAGAATTTTAGTAATTAGTTTATGTGTACCCTGAGATGAAAAAGGTTGAAAATTGCTGATATATATATCAATAGATATTAAAACTATAAAGGCTAAACATTAAAACAGAAAGGAGTAAATGCTGCTGGCAAGTGGAAACTCCCCATGAAATTTCTAATACAAATAAAGAGACAGTCATCAAATGATTTTTGTGAAGGGATAGTAAGAAGCTAGGAAAATCTCTGAGCAAGGGGACTGGGGAAACTGAGACAAGAAAATGAAACAAGGCCAAGCAGTCTGGGCAGCTTGCAGCCAGCTTGTGAACTGCAAGACCTTATCTTCCCCAACCAAGGACGCTTGAGAGCAAATGGTTCAGACCCTCCTCCCTAACCAGGGAATGCACAGCTCAAGTCACCCTGACCTGGGAAATAGAGAACAAAGACCCAATTAATGCCATTTGTGCCAGCTCAACCCAAGGACAGATGAAGTTGGGGAACAAATAACAAGAACCCCATTAAAGCTAGAAAGATCTAAGATAAAAGTAAAACAGACCAAAGAATAATCCCAAACTTCCATATACACATTTTGATGTATCAGCATATTAAAAATGCACCTGGAAAGCTGAGGAATATTCTACTGAAACCCTCCCCTAAGATTCTCACCTGCAGGAAAAAAAAAGATTAAAAGCCTTCAGGACAAAGACTCAATGTGGGCTTGCTCTAGAGTACACCCATGCCCTTCCTAGGCATGAACTTTTTATTTCTAAGGGTCTCCATGATACTTGCAACCAGGGGAGCAGTGGGCAGCTGCAGCTTGACCCAGTTTCACCCCAATCCTGTGTCCAAGACCCCTCTTTTCTCTGACTTCCCAGTGAGGTAACAGCAGCCCCACCTTGGCTCACTTCTTTCCTGTAACATTTCTAGGGAGCCAAAGCAGAGCACGGCCTAGGCTCTCTCCTATTGCTTCTTCTACTGTAAGTTCTTCCTTTGTTTCACTATCCCCAGCATTAATAAATCCATCACTCTCAAATCCATCTGGACTGTTGTGAAATCTTTCCACATGAAGTCAAGAACCCACACACTACAGGCCTGCCTGAGGCAGAGCCATTCAGGCCAGTCCCTGTCCAGTAACAATTTTCACTGTGCAAGAGGGCCAACCACAGGCTCTCATTAAATATCAAGAATGTATTCAAATTACTTTACTCTAAAATTAATTTCAAAACATTTAAAAAAATATGACTACTGAAAACATTTAAATTTCCCTTTAGTATGATTTATATCGTACTAATATTAACAAGAGCTGTCTTTTTTGAGTACCTACTATGTGCCAGGTATTATTACCACTTTACATATACTTTCTTTTGTTTTCTCAGTATGTCTTTTTTCCAGTTTTATTGAGATATAATTTTCTTATTTAATCTTCACAGTAATCTATGTTATTGCCTAGTTTATAGATGAGGAAACCAAGGTTTAAAAACTAAATAAATTGCCAAACATTCCTCATTGGCAGGCTTCAGATCCAGGTGAAAACAGGCCGCTCAGGTCCTTCCCCACTACCCTACAGGAGCAGTTCACACATGCCAATGCCCTACCGGTGCCAGGCTGACTGCTTCACATGCACCGTTTTATTTAATCCTCACAATAGCCCCTTAACACAGGTACAGTTGTTATCTACATTTTACAGATAAAGTAATTGAGGCCAGTGAGTTGTGTAATTAAAAAAGAGTAAACCTTGTAGGTAGAAGAGTTGAGATTTAGATCAAGAAAATCAGATTTCAGAGCTTATCACTATAAGCTGTGATGCTGGTTGACCTGCAATCTGACTTACATGGGTCCACAGAAAGAGGATGGTCAGTTATATCCAAGTTAAAGTCATCACAGGAAATCAAAGGACTATCCGGTGTCAGTTTTGCTAAAGGACATACTGTACTTCTTCAACTTCAGACTCTACTTAGTGTTGACATGGCGGGAGCCTGTCAATCAGTGTTATTTGCCTATTAAATCTGTCTTGTGCTTTTATAGAAATTGAAGTTGAATATGTGGTAAGCCCCAGAAAGTTGTGTGTACTTTGATGTGCTTAGAGACCTTCCAGGTGTTCAAATGAGAAATGACAGATGGGTCTTAACTTTCCACTGAAATGTTTAACCAGAACAGTTTCTGGGTCTGAGCCTTTCCTCTTTGAGATGTGACAGAGAGAAGAGCAGACAGAATGTCTGCCTACTTGTCATTCCTTCAAACACCACTTTCATGCCCCTGGGCCATTCCTCAAGCTGGTACCTACAACCAGAATTCCTCTTATTTCCTGTACTGTTTATGCAGGTCCTTTTAATCTTTAAGATCTGATTCAGACCTCACTTTTTCCTTGAAAACTCCCCAGCCCTTTCCCTCTGCACAACTACCAACCACATTCTTTGAGGGAATAAGTGACTTTCGTGCTCTCACTTTTTTATACCTTTATTCTAGCATCTTCCATCGTGTATATGGTATATGTACATTCTATGGTATATAATATTGCACATGTATATGCACATCTTAGATTGTTAGTTCTTTGAAAGGAAGGACCATGTATTTTAATTATTCTTGAACTTGCTGTGCCTAGCATAGTGTCTGGCACATTTAAATACTCAGGTTGTTAGACCGATATTTAAGAATCTAAGAATATTTAAAGGAGTAGAGAGGTATTACTTATTTAATCAGATTCTGTAGGACTGAAATTTCCAGTAGATGTATCGGGAACATTCACTAATGCACAGATCCACTAATAATCTTGTCTGGGACAGTGTGAGGGCAGGGACCATGTTTACCTTATCTCACAATGGTACATCTGGCCTGTAGCATGATGTCTGCTTATCACGTAGTTGCTGAACCAACATTGTGAGAGCATTATTCTTACAAGTCTGCCATAAAGACACAATGTACACTCCTAACTGTATATTATTGGTATGAAAAAGCTCTTATTTTAAAAATTGGATGCCTGTGCCAAGAAAGGGGCAGTAGCCCTTAGTTAAAGTAGAGACTTGGTGACCTGCTCCATCAGTGTACTCATAAATTTCTTCTTTCAGGCACTGTGTGACATAATTTAGCAACAATCAAGATTCCTGTGACTTTCCACTGTTTATTGGCTCATATTACAACTAATGGTAAAATGGGGTCCTGGTAAATCACGTCTTTATATGAGCACTGAAGAGCAGCCCATGAGCTCATGCGCCAGGTGCACCGCAACGGACTCAAAGGCCTCACCCTTTTCTGGCAGAGCTTCAACCACTGCCTTTCAATCTAACAGGATTTGCCAGCCCTGCCGCACCCGGGGAGACCTTTAATGCTTCTGAACACAAATACAGCCCTTCCTACCCGCCCGCCCCCTCCCTCACCCAGCCTCCGACCAGCTCGGGCTCCATAATGGACCTCATGCTTCCTTTACGGTGACACTCACGCTGCCCCGAGGGCCCTGCATATTCTTCAGTAAAGTCCACCCTGCAGGTGACTCACTCTGCGGGTGGATGATGATGGCTTGTTTAAAAGAAGAACGATGGGATGGCCGAGAGAAAGCTAGCAAGGTGGAAATTTGTCAGCAATCAACTCAAGGAAAGCTTGAGGAGTTTTTGTCACTATGTCCACTTAGAACAGGTTTTAGTACCAACAAAACTCAAGGTTTTTCCCTTTATAGAGAAATTTTCTTTATGAATGTTTATAGTTGTATTACTCATAATAGCCCAAAGGTATAAGCAAGCCAAATGTCCACCAACTAATTAATGGTTCAACAAAATGTGGTATATCCATATAAAGAAACATCATTTGGCTATAAAAAGGAGTGCATCACTGTTACACACTGCGACGATGAATCTTGAACATGTTAAGTAAAAGAAGCCAGTCACAAAATGCCACACGTTACATGACTCCATTTATATGAAATGCCCAGAACTGACAAAGCTACGGGGACAGAAAGTAGGTTAGTACTGGGGGGACGAGGTGATAAGGTGTTGATGGCTAAAGGATATGGGCTTCTGAGGTGATGAAAATGTTCTAAAATTTCCTGTGGTGATGGTTACACATACTTGTGAATATTCTAAAATCCATTGAATTTGATACTGATAAATGGGTGAATTGTGTGATATGTTAGTTTGCTAAGACTAGCTTAACAAAGTACCACAGACTTGATGGATTAAACCACAGAAATTGATTTTCTCATAGTTCTGAAGTCTAGAACTTTGAGATCAAGGTATTGGTAGAGTTGGGTTTTTTCCTGAAGCTTGTGAGGGAAGGATCTGTTGTAAGCCTCTCTCTCTGACTTGAGATAGCTGTCTCCTTTCTTTCTCTTCACATGCCCTTCTCTCAGTACATGTCTGTGTCCACATTTCCTCTTTTTATAAGGACACCAGTCATATTAGATTTGGGCTCATTCTAATAACCTAATTTTAATTTAATTACTCAATAAAGACCCTATCTCCAAATATGTTTGCATTTTGGGTCATATGTTAGGTTAGAAGGTTAGGACTTCAACATATATATTTTGAGGGGACATGATTCAGCCATTAACATATGCTATGCGAGTTATAACTCAATAAAAGTGTTTAAAAAAAGATTGTCCCCTAGACATTGGGCCCGATTCTTAGATAGGGTTGACCTAGGTAAGAGGAAGTTAAGTAAGAAACACACCTGTTTTCCGCAGAGCAGTGTCCTTTGCTGCTTCTGTGACTGGTCCAGGCTTACTCTACCCCTAAGTCCACAAGTGTGCAACTACAAGAATGAAGTAGGAGTTGTCCGAGTTTTGTAAAATAGGGCCCATATTTTGAATCCAATAACTTACATGTTTTATTTAACCTGTACAGTGTTTTTGCAATTTTCTAACTCGAATCTTTGAATTCAAGGCATGCAGGCTTACCACAGTTTGCTATAGTTCCCACCATCCCTATTGTCTTATACACGGCATGCTTCACTTATTGGTAACTACTTGGACATTTGATCTTGAGACATTAGGAACAAAAACATTGACAGGACACAACATCTCTTGAAACATCTAACACAGCATTATTGTTTAAAAAATAGCTGTTTCATGATTTCCTGATTAAAAGTCCCAGGGTAGAAGAACACTTATATAAGAGTTTGGATTTAAACTTACTGTATAGGCTATGTTTTGCTGGACTATGTACAGCAGTTATAAATATAGGCAAGAGCTAAATCTGTAATGAATTCTATTATCAAAGGAGGATTGGGTATGAGGAGGTTTCAGATATAAGCAAATAATTTTTATTTAAAATTTAAATCAAAAGGGTCTTAGAATCAGAAACATATATTTGGGACATTTTCCATCTTAGTGTAACAAGTCCTATGTAGGCAACTAGTTTAGGACTCTGATATGGTACAGTTACAAATATTTGCCTATACCACAGGTTTCATTATTTTTCTTCAGTAGAGTACTTTATATGATGAAGACTTATGTATCAAGGTTAGCTTACAGCAGTAATTTTTCCCCAAGTACTGTTGGAGTTTGTTTATAATTTCCTTCCGTCACCAGTTCTTAACACCATTATAGTCACATTGGTGACATTACCAAGAAGGTGCAGTTTACTCCTTTTATAGGACATTATGGATCTCAGAACAAAACAGCACACTTCCTACAGAAAGCATTTAGCTGTACAGCATACTCAAAACTATTGTTTTGAAGCCTGGGCTCCTGATCATGTCTTCATTTCAGAGGAAGTCCTTAGAATAGCCTGCATAATGACTTACAAACTTTTCTACACCCTGAAGCAGAACAGACCCTTCCTCTGGAATTAGAGGTGCTACTGGTATCACCTGTAACTTCCCTGCTTTGCTTAATGAACCTCACACCAGTATTTTTTAAGGCTAAGGGTTCATCATCTGGAAGGCTTGTTAAAACAGATTCCTGGACTCCATCTCTAGGGTTTCTGATTCAATAAGTTTGCAGTGAGGCCCAAGAATTTGTATTTTTAGTAAGTTTCTAGATGATGCTGCTGGCCCAGGGACCACACCTTGAGAATGACTCACCTACACAATGAATGTGAGCTGCTTCTCCATTTCACCTTACACAGAACCACATTCTAATTTTTTTTAATTTTTGAAAAGTGCTGAGGAAGGAGTCTAACTAACTAGTTTATAAGTGCACCACCCTTCAACCAGTGAGGTGATGGCATGTTAGTGGAAAGACACAGGGAAGGCCTGCTGAGCAAACTAAAACAATGAATGTCCATAGTGCTCTCTCTTTGAGTAGGTGTAGAATGAAATGTTTAAAGAAACGTTCTCTTGAGTATTACAGAACCATCTGCTTATTTTATTCATGATTTTATATTTTAAGATTGTCAAATTCAAGAGCTTGACCAAATATTAGTGGTCACTAGACTTTTGCATTTGGAATCATGAACTAGCAAATAAAATAGGATTGACAGATCATGTTTGTGAAACCTATTATGCCCTGCATGAGCCATAAAAATGGGGTTGGGGGCGGGAAATATGAAATAATGCTCACTTGTTTGTTCTTCAATGCCAGGCCTTCTTTTATGATATACAGTAAAATATTTTTTTATCAACTTGGGCTAATCTCAAAATTGTATTTCTTCAAAATTATGGCCACGTTCACACTGAGGTTTTGTTTCTATATTTATTGAAAATGCTGCTAGTAATAATTGTTCCTGTTAAATGCATATTTTTTACATAGATGTTTTATTTTTCTTTTATTTAAATTAAATTTATCAGGGCAACATTGGTTAATAAGATGAAATAAGTTTCAGGTGTACAGCTTTATAATCCATCATCTGTATAGTGCATTGTGTGCTCACCACCCAAAGCCTAGCCTCCTTTATCACCAGATATGACCCCTTGACTCTCCTCTTCTCCCCCTCCCCTCTCCCCCTCTGGTAACCACCATACTGTTGTCTGGGTCTATAAGTTTATTTGTTTGCTTTGTTTGTTGCTTTTTATTTTATATCCCACATATATGTAAAGTCATACGGTTCTTGTCCTTCTCTGACTTATTTCCCGTAGCGTGACACTCTCAAGATCCATTCATGTGGCCATGGCAGCATTTCATCTTTTTATGGCCGAGTAGTGTTCCATTGTACGGATGTGCCGCATCTTCTTATTCAATCATCGGCCAAAGGTTGCTTCCATAGCTTGGCTATTGTGGACAGTGCTGTAATGAACATAGGGGTGCGCCTATCTTTACGAATGAGTGTTTCAAAATTATTGCGTAGACACCCAGAAGAGGGGTTGCTGGGTCATGCAGGAGCTCTGTTTGTAAATTTTTGAGCAACCTCCATGCTGTTTTCCATAGAGGCCGCACCAATTTCCATCCCCCAGCAGTGAGCGAGGGCTCCCTGCCCTCCACGCCCGCTCCAGCACTTGTCATTGCCTGTCTTGTTGACAGCAGCCACTCTAGCAGGTGTGAGGTGCTATCTCATTGGCGTTTTGATCCGCATTTCTCTTATAGCTGGTGCAGCTGGGCCTTACCTAGGTGTTTTAGACATGTTAATTAATTTGAATCTTACAACGATCCTATAAGATATTATTATCCAGTAATACTTATCCATTGTTATCCTTTAGAGAAATTGGGACTTAGAGTGTGTTCATCGCTTTCCCAATGCCACACTTTCCCAGTCTGATCGGCTATGGGGCCTGGGTGCCTGTTTTTTTTTCTACTTTCCAAACTTCTTCCATGTCATTTCGAAAATACCGCAGCATGTATTCATAGCAGGAAACTGATTAGGGCAGGAGCATAGGTCGGCAAAATGGTGATCCCTGAGGTCTCCAGAGATTCGTATTACCTTGAAAATCAAATGAAATCTTGGGATTGTTTTTGGAAAGTGTGGCCTAAGGGTTGAGAAAAAAGGGATAACAATTTATACATTTTGTTACTTTCGCTTCTTGTTTTGAAACCAATTTTTTGTTGCCTTGCCCAAATTTTGAGGGCAAAATGTGCTAAGAATTATGAGGAAGAGAGAAAAATACACTCTGAAAGAAAAGATGTTATGATTAAAATTTTATGACAGCATAAACTTTGGTATTAAGTCTTCAATATTAGAGCGTTTTGTTACACTCTTTCATTTATGCTCATGCACCCAAGTTTCCATTTCCTCTTTCAAAACTCCTGATT